AAGCAATTTTTGAATTATCAAGCCGAAGAAAATCCTTGCTGTATTTTTCCCCTGGAGCTTTTAATATCAAGCTCCTCAATTCTTTTATCCTTGTTCGACACTCAGATTATGAATTGCTTAACAAGACACAGATACCTTTCTTTATTCTATAAAAGACCAGTAAGTACCATAATATAAATTACCGAGCTAAAAATCATGTTGTAATGTTTTGTTTTGGTTCGCAATCGATCGCGCGGTTCATCAACACGAACGCTTCCACCTTGAAATTTCAAGACAAACCTGTCCTACGAACCGGTCAAAAATTCGCGCTACAACATTCACTGTTTTGACGTTATGCTAATTATCCAAATTAATGCAGATAATGCTAATATCCATGACCAGCATATTTCAGTGTGAGTATTGTCAATGTTTTACATTCAAAAGATGCGATAAATTCAAACTAAAATGTACTAGTCATGGAGGTATGTATAGTGCGCATTATTTTGGAAAAATTAGCATTACGTCAAAAGGGTGAATGTTGTAACGCAGATTTTTGACAGGTTCGTAAGAAAGATTTGTCTTGAAATTTGAAGGTGTTGCAGTGAATCAATCTTAATGAAAGTTTCAGACATTATTGCATACATGATTATGAAAATTATGTGAAGAGATTTTAAACAAATTCGTTCGAGTCGTTTCAGAGATATACAAAAAAGCGCTAAAAGTCTAAATTTTGAATGAAGTTGCACTTATACAGAAAAGACAACAAAATTTTCTAGCATCAAAACATGATATTAATCAGCATTCTGAGCTACTTGTTAATAATTTGAGTCATTTATAACGTTTTTATTAAATAATCTATCACGGCTATTGAAAATTTTAAGGTTTGAAATATATTTTCGTTTTAGTCGAATTCAAACATACAGAATTTTTTAATTCTTACGGAGGTTATTTGCTAAACACCAAACTTTAAGTTTCTAGTCATGTTAGACTTTCACTAGCTGGTCTAGATCACACAAAATTCGGCTTTTATCAGTTTCAAAGTTTTTTGTTTATTGTTGTCATAGTAATATCGATTTTACTTTAAATTAAATTTTCAAAAAATTCCATCCATGGCAAATTACTGGTCAAAATTTTTTGGCGATCGGACAACGAAACAACCAGTTTTAAGGCGATCGAAAAATATCAGTATGGCCTCTGAAAAACTGTATCGAAACACCTTAAATAAACAACGCGAATCACGTTTCCAGCAATCGGTTATCGACGTTTTCATTTCTTTGTTTATAACTTGTTACTCACATTGCCTTCTTTAATTCGAATTCAATTCAAAACCTTAAAATTGGTATTTGTAAATAAGCTATGTTTACAAAGACTTTGTGTAATTTTCATCCCACTCGATTGAACTAAGTCTTAAAGCAATTTTTGAATTATTCAGCAAAAGAAAATCCTTGCTGTATTTTTTTCCTGGCGCTTTTAATGTCAAGCTTGTCAATTCTTTTATCCTTGTTTGACACTCAGATAATGAATTGTCTAGCAAAACACAAAAACCTTTGTTTATTCTAAAAGAGAGTAGTAAGTGCCATAATATAGAACTACCCCGCTAAAAATCATGTTGAAATGTTTTGTTTTGGTTTTCAATCGATGGCGCGCTTCATCAACATGAACGCGTCCTACTTCAACACACATAGGTTGGAGAGTGAAGGAAACTTTTCCTGAAACTTTTAAGTCTCAGTGGGATTTAAAAAATAAAAATGTAATTCACCGGTCTAGGTCGGTCCGTATTGGGAGAAACCGTGTGCCCTCGGTATGAGAACTTGTATTGCCAGCATTGCATTGCATGACCTTGCATTGTATTGTATTGTATTTTTTTCCAGTTGATATATGTTATTCAATGGCTGGGAGGTCCGTATTGGGAGAAATCGTTTGCCCTCGGTCTGAGTACCGCTCTCGGCCTACGGCCTCGGGCGGTACTCAAAACCTCGGGCGCAGTTTCTCCCAATACGGACCTCCCAGCCAGTGAATAACATATATAAACTGGAAAAAACTACAATACAATACAATGCAAGGTCATGCAATGCAATGCTGGCAAATACAGTTATGGCATCTCTCTAACTCTATAAACTGGGTAAATCATTTTCCCAAATATCTCGAACATGAAAAATTGCAATGATCTGAATCTTGGCGAAGTTCTTTGCAAATTTACTTTGAATTCTTTCACTTCCCACATTCTGGACTCATCTATTGAACGGTCTTGATTTTTATTTTTGACGGCTTAGCTGTTACAGTGAAACCTACTATCATATAAGAACCGCTAATTAACTAGTAGTTTCCAATCAGTATGTCCAATGGAAAGTGAAGTGCTGCGAGATTAATCAATATGTCCTTAAAGTCGGGTCAATTTCCTGTCGCCTGGAAGGAGGCTTTAGTCTTGCCGTTACTTAAAAAACCTGGCCTCGACATTCTCTTCAAGAATTTTCGTCCCGTTAGTAACTAACCATTTGTTTCGAAGCTGACAGAGTCAGCCGTCTATAACCAAACTCATAGTCACATTTGCATGAGCAATCTTTATCCTGCCAATCAGACAGTATAGCACAGAAACAGCGTTGCTGAGAGTGAAAAATGACATCTTGTTGAACATGAACAAACAGCATGTAACACTATTGGTTTTATCAGATCTTGGTGCGATCCACAGTATCAGTGATACTGTGGATCGCAGTGTTTCACTCAGTCGGCTTCACTCAAAATTTGGTATATCTGGAAAGGCACATGAATGGTTTCGTTCCTACCTTAATGGAAGATCTCAGCGTGTTATGGTCCAAGGAAATTTATCTCAGAGTTTGAATTTGGACTTCGGTATACCCCAGGGCTCTTGCCTCGGGCCATTGCTTTTCACCATTTATGCAAGCAAATAATTGTTTGATGTTATCAAGGTGCAACTTCCCACTGTTCACTAGGGAACTTAAGACAGAGACGTTTTCGGGGCGACGGCGACCGGACTGGCAAAGCAAGCCTGGAACAGAGGCAGCCGTCGCTTCCCTCCAAAATTCGAACATTAAGATCGCAGTGAACTCAGGAGGACGGCGCCTTGGAAGACTACCGAAGAGGAAAATATGGCTTCACATAAAGAATTAAGAGAATTAATGCTTATCTGCTTGCATGCAACGGCAAAACAACAACAACACCACGGCAATGTGGTGAGCAAGAGCATGCGCAGTATTGCACAAATCATGATGTCACGTCCGGTTGAAGTTGCCGTCGCCCCGAAAACGTCCCCATCTTAAGTTCCTACTGTTAAGCTGACGACACCCAGTTGTATGTGTCTTTCAGTCCAAACATAAGCACCGGGCAATTTGAGGCTGTCACTGCTATACAGCACTGTGTGGATGATATACGTAACAGGATGACCAATGATAAGCTACTTCTCAATGACGATAAAACAGAATTCCTAATGATTGGTATCAAGCAACAACTAGGCAAGGTTAACATTGATCATATGTTAATCGGAGACTGTGTAATTAGACCAAAAGGGGTAGTTAAGAACTTAGGGACATGGTTAGACTCGACTCTTTCAATGAATTCTCATGTAAATAACACTTGTTCCAATGCCTTTTATTGCTTGTATAATATAAGACGAATTAGGAAATATCTTTCTAGGCGGTCCACTGAGACGATCATTCACGCATTTGTCTCAAGTCGTGTCGACTATTGTAACAGCCTGCTCTATGGCCTACCAGCCTACCAGCTTAATAAGGTACAGAGAGTCCAAAATGCCGCAGCTAGGTTAATTTTCCAGGTTAATTTTTCTAATTCCCTTAGTAGCATCTTTTAAAAAGACACTCAAGACCATTTTTTTTGTCAGAAGCTTTTTTGTGATTTTATGTGCTTTTAATCTCTTTTTTAGTAGGTTTTATGCAGTTTTTTACGATTTAAGTAGTCTAGGTAATTTTTATAGTTTTAGTGTTGACATAATTGCTTTAACTCTTTTTGGTAGGTTCACTTTATGCATGTATACTTTATGGAGTCTTATGGAGCAATATTGATATCGGTGCTATATAAGTATTATAAGTACAATTATAATTTTAATTATTATTATTATTATTATTATTATAGCATTTCAGATGATTTGAACCAGTTGCACTTTATTTCGATTGCTGATATTTGACATCAACAGTGTCACATAACTGTGCATGTAACACAACACGACACGAATGCGATCGATAAAAACCGAACTTTGAACCAAAATAAGTGTATCAAGCTACATTGTATAAACGTCCCTCAGAATTAATAGCGTATTATTTATCTGAAAACCAAAGGTTAAGAGCACGCAAGCGATGGAGTGGGTGAAAGTGTGAATTTCCAATCGAGTTCAAGATTAAACTGGTTCATAACGCTTCGCGAGCGTATAACATTATTTTCAATCTTTGCTTCCGTCGTGTGAGAAACGTTTTACTACCAAGGCAGAACAAAACTCGTCACACTTTCCAGAAAAGCTCTCAATAACTAAAGCAATTTATCACTCAAATATCTACAGAAGCCTATCTGAATTTAAATTTAGCCAAAACACGGACTTTAATTACAGTACAGTTCCAGGAATTGCTTGAAATATTTAGAAAAACGTATCCCTTAATTCATTTCAAGGGAATTTGTTACCTTCACTTGCATTTCTACTCTTCGCTTGCAAAAACGTGGCTTTCTATATGAAACAGGATTTTTCCCGGGCTTTTTAAAGTTTTCCACATGCCACTTTATCGATGGTCAAGTGTTCTTTTGGTTTTCTTCCAGAATCGATTGACTGCGAACAGAAGAGCCTCAATTTGGAGGGCCATATCGAGGCAAAAAAGGTGATATACATACATACATACATGCATACATGCGAACAAACATATTTACATTCAAAAATCTCAAATGAGGCTGGCTTCGGGCACAGGCAATCCAGGCTGGTCACGTACACGACCTGAATTAGTCTTCTAAGAAGCCAGGTGTCTTTGCAGCAATGACACTTTACCATGCGTATCAAGGCTATTTCAAGCTACTTTCTCTACTTTTGTCACAAGCATTGTGCATTCGTAATTGATTAGTTCATCATCTTTGACATTTTGATAATATTCATGGTCTAACTCGCTTATTCCCTCTTCAATTTGATCATCGCTTAAATGCTGCAATAAACTTATGAAGCGGCATCGATATCGTTCGTACAGCTTGGATTTCTTTACTCCCGATGAAAAGGAGAACTCCTCTTGAGAGAGGTTGGCATTCAAACCGATTTTTCTCAGTAACGGAGAGGAGATTTCCCTCTCTCGCTCAAAACATTGGCTACTAAGCGTTTTTACACTTTTAAATGACGGGAGACTGACCTTGACGGTGTTTAACTGCACATAAAACCCCCCGGGGCGAAGACTACGAAGTATTCCCTTATAAACAGCATCGGGGTTTACAAAATGATGTGCACTTATCGTAGCTAGCACTCGGTCAAAATTCCCGCTAATTTGCGGATTTGAAAAAAATTCTTCAGCTGTTTTCAGAATAGGGTAAACCCCTTTCTTTTGTCTAGCCACTTCTTGCATCTCCACGCTGGGGTCTACACACCAAATAGGATTCTGAAGCCCTGATAATTCAAAGAGATCTTTCGCAATGGCGCCTGTTCCACTACCAACGTCAGCGACCACGTGCTCTGGCTTTAAGTCCAAACATTTCATTAGGATGGGAATGTAACCTTAGTGAACTTCTTTGAAGAAGTAGTCATACTTGTTTGCAATATTGCGATAATGATCTGCAAAGAAGAGCAAGAGCCTTTAATTTTTTTCCCTTACATGCATTTTACAAAACTGAATAAACTCAAGAATGAATAACAGTCCAGTGTCCGTGTACATGTCTGTCCCCTGTGATATTTTTCTGTGTTTCTTTTTGTTGAGTGACTTTAAATGTCTTGTTCACCCAGGACATTCTATTACCCCACGTACGGGGAGGCTCCGCCCCAAGGGCCGATCCCTTACCCTTTTATATACCATTTTTGACAAAATACAGTGGAACCTCCTCTTTTGGGACACCTCTATTCAAGTAGCACCGCCATTCAGGAGACACAAAACTTGGTCCCGGAAAAATGTTCACATAATCTCTGTGTTTGTTACCTGTATTCTGGGTCCCGAAAACTGGTTTTTACCTCCCTTCAGGGGACACCTTGGCAATCAAAAAATGACTGACCACAAAAACCGTGCATAAGTCTAAGTGTTTACTAGTCACAATGGCGACAGCTTCAAACATGAATTAACTCACTTAAACCGATGTCCTGCACTTGCGGGAATCAAAACACAACATCGCAGATATAAGTTGATCATGGTTTTATATATATATATATCTAGCTGCTTGAAATAATGACGCCTTTTTCGGCTGTAATAAAAATATTTAATTTTTTGGTTAAATAGTAACAAAGCCCAGCCCAACCTTCATTCAGGGGACAGCTCTATTCAGAATACACTTCTATTGACAAAAAGTACCCCTTTCACAAACTTAGTTTAAACCTTTGCATCCCTTTTAATTACTGTAAATGCACTGTCCTTAAAATATGAATATATCACAAAACCAGAACGTTTTCTTGACTTTTTTTACAGCCATAAAATGCATCTGTTGGCCCTTTTAAGCCCTTTCATGACGAAAATGACAGATTTCCCTACCCTTTCATGTATTTCAACAAGTTAAATCCCTACCATTCAGATATATTTGAAGCTTGAAATAGATAATAATAATAATAATAATAATAATAACAACAATAATATAATAACGATGATGATAATGCTAATGACAATGACAATGACAATGATAATGATAATGATAATGATAATGATAATGATAATGATAATGATAATGATAATGATAATGATGGTGATGGTGATGGTGATGGTGATGGTGATGGTGATGGTGATAGTGATAGTGATAATGATAATAATAATGATAATAATAATGATAATAATAGGTGCAAGTCTTCCATGACAGGAGTTATATGGCCGGATCTTCCTACTCTTCTTACTCTGAGCACGTTGCAGTTAAACTTTTTTCGGAATTGGATGGGTAGTCCACAGTATAACCTATTACAATAATCGAAGAGAATCATGATAAAAGCATTGACCATCCTCTTAAGGTAATCCTTGCTCAGATACTTCCTCAATCTTCCAATAAATCGAATCGCCAGCATAGCCTTTAAACATGTTTCATTAATATGATGACAAAAATTAAGGTGTCTATCTAGGTTGACATCAAGATTACAAAATCTGTCTGATGGTTGCACTCTAGCGTTGCTAGTTGAAAAAATCACTAAGAACTGGGTTCTTGACGAAACGAGAACTTAACTAAATTAGCTGTGTTTTAATAGGATTGCACATTAACTCAGTTATCGTAGGTATTGGCCATTCTATAACTTCAATAACACATATGTACACTTGGCGGGGTTGTTTAAAGCTGGGTTAAGATAATCCAAGGTTAGTGCGAAATTTTAACTCAAATATAAAAGCTTAGAAAAAAACAAAGACATTTTTACTCTTTTCGTCTACAATTTCATGATTGGATACGTTAAACAGAATAGCAAAATTATCAATACAGCCTTGGAACAATCGGGTCCACATGACAGATGTTCAGGGCCGGACATTGATCATGCGAATCAATAGTAAAATGTATCGTTGAGAATCATCTGCATAGAACGTAGAGCAGAGATTATGATTGGAATAGGAGCTGTATATAGGGTGAACAAGAGAGGTGCAAGTATCGACCCTTGCGGAACTCCAAATTCTAACCTCCGACTCACTAGGTGTCGTATGTTACCAATAATGACAGTCGATTGTGTCCGACCGGTAAGATAAGACGAAAACCATTTAGCACTATGAGGGAAAATCCCAAGTAACTACTGGGTCTACCCAAGAGTAAAGTCTGGTCTAGGGTGTCAAATAAGGCTGACAGATCTGACATTACTAAAACAAAATCTTGCCGAAGATCAATAGTCCTTAGAACATGATTCATCCCTCACAGCAGCACGGTCTCGGTGGAGTGATCTTTGTGGTAGGCGGATTCCATAGAAGGCATAAAAAATATCTTTCTCTAAGTATTAATGTGTTTGAACTGCGACAACTCTCTAGATGACTTTTTCTTGAAAAGGTATATTGGCTACAGGTCGGTAATTTTTGAAACTGTATCCTTGTCAATGTCTGGCTTCTTCCAATTTAGCGCTGGACGAATCGAGACTCTTTAAGGGCATAATTTATATGATGCCAGGTTCCTCTTTCGGGCTGAGCCTCCCCGCATATAAGCTTTGATAGATTGTGCTAGCATAATTTTTGGCATAATTCGTCATTAAGAGCATAATTTTCATTCATTTTCCGAAAAAAGCACTGCTAACGTAATACGCCACTTCCACATTTCCCATAATGTACCTTATTTATCCCCAAAATTTTGCATAACCATTGTTTTCAATTTCTCTTGGGACGGCTGTAATACCCAGGAGAAATGAAAAACAAAGGTTATGTAAAATTTAGGGGGCCGAATAAGGTGCATAATAGGAAATGTGGAAGTGGCGTATTTGCATTTTTTGCGGCTAGTTTTGCATCGCAAATTTGTCATTTGTTTATCATGCAACCATCTTTTTCTAATCCGAGATCACTGTTACAGGCAAATTTAAGAGACAAAATCAATTTTTTGTCTGCTTATAGTCACATTCATTGGATCTGGGTCTAATGGAAAGTGGCCCAAGTCTCTTTCCACAGGACTTTCTAGTACGATTACCTAAGATGACGTCCGCGTGTTGATTGTTAATTGTTTGGGTTTTTATAGTTGTTAGACAATGAATTACCCACTCTTAAAGTTTCCATTGCCTTTTTTTTCGTTTCCTGCGTAGTTATTGTGGTGCTTTTACTTAACCCTCGGACGTACACGCATATTCATACCCCGACCGTGGCACAAGGGGAGGGTGGGAGGGGGTGGATGATACCCCACCCGGGAGTTTTTGATATGTCGCAGTATTTCGAAACGATTTTACCTTTAGTGGAAAGCCTTTGATCTTCTTAACAAGATGAGGTATATTTTATGGGTGGTGGCGCTGCTGGAGTCCTGTGACGTTACCAACAATGGCCGCCATGTTGGATTTTACCAAGAATTGGAAATCAGGTTTAAACCACGAGAAGTAGTGATTTTTGTGCTTTACATGATAAATAACAGATAAAGAAGCACTTCGCATGATTTTAGCCACAAGATTTGCTTTTATTGCTAAAAGAAGTTGAAAAAAACACGTATTTTGACTCAAACGTGGCTTGACCACCGGCTACTTATGACGTCATATCTTGTAACCATAGCAACTGACCATCACTAAACTTGTCCACCGAAAACTTCAGAAACTAACGTTTTATCCTCCAGGGAAAAACTCAGAACAACCTTATGGGGGAGGGGGGGGGGGTGGAGTCCTCTCCCCCTCCTACCTTGTACGTCCGAGGGTTACAAATGAAAATACGTTAAACGTAGAGGCATAACTTGGGAAAGTTTGGTAAAATGAGCATAATTTACAAAAAATCAGCGTAATTATTGGCATAATCTTAGAAATATACGAGCACTGCTAGTAACATATTATGCTACTTTTGCGAGCACAATCTATCAAAAACTACCCGTATAGGCCATTATAGGGTGAACCCCCCTTCCCCTTCGGGTTGTTATGCCATAACATTACAAGCCACTGGCAAGCGAGGCAAAGGACTTCATAGGAAAAAACAAACAAACAAACAAGACAAACAAAACCTCTACTCGCAGGGTAAGTCTGCTGGTATCTTCTCTGCTTTAATTTTTGGATTATATAATGTAAGGCATATTTTCTTACCCAATACATCGAATGAACATGAATCGTTTCCTTCGGCATTAGTATCTTTAGAGTCTTCTTGTTGCGAGTTCATCATCTGATCGGGTAGATTACAAATTCAGTTACTCCGTGCAATCTGAGGAATAAAAGATAATTTTGAAGCAAAAACGTCTTCAGAAAGTATGGATAATAACATCACAAAGACTGATTATGAAGGGAAGAAATGAAAAGACAATCGTTAGACCTTTATACGACCTTAAGCCCATTTTCCACATAAATTATCAGATAAACTCGATCGTTGCATGTGTCCACGAACGTGTCACTATCCTATGGGGTGGTACTCCCTTATATAATACAAAGGGTATGGATTTTGCGCCGTTTTTGTTTGAAAATGGGTGTAGAATTTGCACATTTAGGTCTGGAATCGGGTATGTTCTTCGAGGGGAACGACGAAAGTGGCTGAAAGTGTTAGTCCTTTCATTTCCAAATCATAAGAAAAGGAGAAATTGATCTTAAGAAATATTTTTGATGGCGTCCAGGTCTGAAAACCGGTCTGGATTTTGGAAGCAACGTCCGAAAGCGGGAATGCAAAATGACATTTCTCGGGGATGTATCTTATATTTATAACAGACGGGAAATGGCATTTGATGGGCGGGTAATGAGTAGAAAACAGTTGCCTTTTTAAAGACTGCATTGTTTTTCACCCGGAAAATCACGTTGACAGCCGGATATTTTCCCCTGCTTGAGGCTACAATCCAGATTATCTACATCCCTGTTTTTTTGGTCTAAAATAGGATCAAGATTTGGAGAACCGAGGGGCACATTCCCACCGAGATTTTCTCACGTAAAAAAAGATACAGGTTGGCAATT